AAATCCGTCGCATGACTCATTATTATCCAATAAAAATTCGTTGCGTGCGCGCTTTTCTAGTTTTAGTCATTTCTGTTKAGATTCCAGATTCCATTAAAGTAGAAGAGGGCCTAAAGAACTGTCCGTTGGGACCCTGTTTTTAATGATTCCCCTTAAACTAAAAAGTCTAAACTAGACCATTTAGAATTTTAGACCATCTAGACTATCGGGAATGACCCATTGAGGATCATAAGAGGTCCAAGATATCATTCGAGAATACCTTACGAAGAACAAAGATGTCAGAAGTCCGGAAGTGACAATCCTCGTGTAGATTCAGTACCAGAACTACACAGGATTCAGATCAGAACTTCGGAACTCTCGTGTTATTAATCTTATAATTCAATTTTAGAAGTCCAGAACAGAGAATCCTCGTTTTGGAAAAGACAGCCTCTAGTCCCTCGACACGCTCAACGTACGGCACAAACTACCATAGACGCCAAAAACGCTTGATGCCCGGCTGTATCTATGATGCGGCAAACTTACTGACGCACGCTGAGTCACTGGAAAAACCAACGAACCAAGCTGACAAGAAATACATGATTCTTCACACAGGTGATTCTAGTGCAATGGATACGACCCGACCTACTGTAAGCAAGATCCGGAATCTTGACGGTACCGACTTTCGCGGGATCATTTGGCCCATACGGCTTGATCACCATTACCGCCAACCGTTGCTGGTCTTGGAGAAGACCACCGGCACACCCTGGGAAGACAAGCAAAACAAGATTGTCTGGAGGGGAGGTTGTGGTGGGATGGGCAATAACCGAACAGAACGGGTCAAGATCCTGGAACGATTTTCTTCGAACCCAAGCATGGACATTGGACTAATGCTGAGCAAGCATTGCAAGGGATTCATCTCCGATGATAAGCACTACAAAGATTGCATTCAAGCACTTCAATCCAGTTGGTTCTGAGGTTGGTGCTGTGTCGTCGATTTTCTAATAGAATTGAATCGACGACACAGCACCAACCTCAGAACCAACTGGATTGAAGTGCTTGAATACAATCCTTTTGTCCCGTGGCCAAGCAATTGGAATACAAATACTTACTTAGCATAGAAGGAAACGACGTGGCTTCCGGGTTGAAATGGCAGTTGGCCTCGAGCAGTGTCATATTCATGTCTTCTCCGAAGACCGAGTCATACGCAATGGAAGCATTGTTGCAGCCGTATGTGCATTACATTCCCATTGAGGAGGATGGCTCCGACCTGGAAAGGCAACTCGAGTGGGCAAGGCACCACGATGAAAAAGTGAAGTGGATATCAGCGCAAGCCACTAGGTTCATGGAAGATCTTTGGCTGAGCGAACAAGCGATCGTGGACAACGTCGTTGTCAGGCATGATCTCGCGAAGCTGTATCAAAAGCAATTTGGAAAGGAGCTAGAACAGTGTCAAAACAAAAGGAAGAATAACGAAATCGAAAACCAAGGGTGAATTGTCCCACGTACTCCGCTAACAGCGAAGTGTGATGCGTTCGTGCCGTTCCATCGAATCACACATGACACATCATAAGCCTTGGATACGACAAGAGTACTTTTAGCAAGCCAGGTATGCAACTGCCTGCCACCCTTGACGTGTCCCAATCATCATAGGTATTCATTTTTGATACTGAGACTGATGATTGGGATGCTTCAAAGGTTGCAGGTGACAATGTGTTTACTATGGATTGCAATGTATCCCGTGTGGCATATGCGTTGTGCAAAGTGTAATGAACCGCCTGTCACACCTTCTTGAAGATCGCAATTACCATTGCCATACAAATTTTATCTGGACACTGGTGGTTGGGATTTGAGGGAGTTGCAGGCGTTGAAATTGAACACCAGGTTTTACCAATTGATTGTGGAGTAGATGTGTTCCTTCCGGGATACATGTCATGTAGTGCTTAACTGCCTACTAACCCTCCGACGTCCCCATCATCATTGTTTTTCATTTTTGATACTGAGACTATGTAACTGCCTGCCACTTTTGATGTATCCCAATCATCATTGTTATTCATGTTTGATATTGAGACTGATGATTGGGGTGGTTCAAAGGTTGCAGACAAGACTGTGTTTACTATGGATTGCAATGTATCCCGTGTGGCAAATGTGTTGTGCAAAGTGTAATGAACCGCCTGTCACACCTTCTTGAAGATGTGTACGTCTACATGCTAGTTCTGATGCGTCGCATTTGCTCGAATTCCGTATCATAATCTCAAAAAACACACGGACAGAGGTGCGGTGCCATGATGTAATTATTATAATCCTTTAGAATTACCATCGTTAGAGCTTTCATAGACTGCAGTACATCCTAATGACGTTGCGTAGAAACCAATAATTCAACTGCCACCTGCATGACGGAATATGGAAAGCGACGACCGTACAGTACGATGGGTTATCAGAAAAGTTTTCTTAGTAAGATGGTGGTGTTGGCAGACTTTCTCTCCGCGCAATCGACAACAAAAATGAACATCATGTCACGCATGCTGCGTTCCACTTAAATCTTGACCAATACGATGCAGTATTGGTGGAGATCCGTTTTTAAGCTTCTACTGGTGATACAAATACTCCCGATGCAAGCGACTGGCAAGAGTGCTGCTGGTGATCGGCAGGCCAAGCTGCTGGTGATAGCAGGAGCCGACCCGCTGATACGACAAGTGTTATTGGTACTACGAGTGCAGCAGACACAACGAGTGCCACCGGTGCCATCCGCCACCGATAGCATCCGCTTGCTGCACCACGAGCCACTTCTTGGTGCGAGGAGCCGATTGCAACTACTAGTACTACTACCGGTAGTCGTATCTCTCTCCAGAAAACTCGATACGAGAAACTACGAGAAAGCAGCAAGGTGCTACGTACCAGTACGTAGTACGTACTCCAAAGTGACTCGCATCGTAGGGTATCGAACGGTATGTTTCGTACAATGATTGAATTGATTCGGTACCAAAGACCAAAGACGGCAAACACGAATGAAAACGGCGATATTGCCCCCTCCACGTTCACGACCAAAAAAAGCATGATCCGAAACCATCGTCTACGCCCCACCCACCACGGGATTGACAACCAAATGTAGAACGCAACCGTGTTCCATACCATACGGTACGGTCCGTACCATGCTACAACTTGTCATTCCAAAACCAATCCGCAACCAGGGCGGTGATTTCCATTCGGAAGGAAAGGATCCATCGGCGCCATAAAAGAACGCAACGCACCACCGACAGCGTGTACCAAACGCACCATCTCCCGGCCTCGAAATGCGGAATTCTCGTTCCTCGACGACGACTTCTGCTAGCAGCAGCAGCAGCAGCAGAGCTCTCTCTCTTTGCCCGCGTGCGAAAGGATTGTCTCCCGCTTTTTCGTCCCCGAGTTTTTCCCGGCGCCGGGCCCTGAACGAGGCGGACGCGCCGAACCAGATCGAGGTGATCGATGAATATCCGCTCTCCAAGTACCTGGCGATGGCCGAGCGGTTGTTTGCCTGCTTCCAGCAATCCTTCGAACACCTGAACCTCGACGAGGCCTTTGTCTACGGGATGCGGTTTGCACAGCTGGGACTGGTGGAACTCCCGAGGCACGGGGAATGGAGGGCCGGTGGAGAAAGAGAGGAACGCCTCGGTTCGCTCGTCGAAAAGGCGCTGTCGAGGCTGGAAATCATCAAGCGGAGAATGGACGAAGAGGAGCTGACAAAACTGCGGGTGGGGATGGTGGCAAGAGCGGAAGAAGAAGCCAGGGCACGGGAACGAGAACAAGAACGAGAACGAGCACGAGCACGAGAACGGCCACAAAGCACACCACGGGTTCCGACGGAGCGGAAGGAGGAGCGGGGCGGCATCGGGCATAGACCGCGGCCTCCCCACGAGCACGAAACAAAGAGTGCCGGGTCGAAACTCAGGAAATTCTTTCGCCTGCCGAAAAAGAGCGGAGGAGTTTCGGCACCCCCACCGGCCCCGCAGACGGTTCTGCCTTCCCTCGGTGCGATTCAACGGTCCCGGGCACGGCACGAATGGTTCACGGGACCCAACGACAACGACAACTACCACAACCACCCCGTGGTGGTGGCAACCGATCCCTCCCCGAGCGGCCTTTACACCACCCGCTATGCCATCGAGGAATATCCTTTGGTGGAGCAAGTCACGCTCAGGCTCCACCCCACGCGGACCCCATCGCTCCTGAACCTGGAGCGAGGAACAGGGCCCAAATCCCACGAACAACGAGTCGCCAGCAAAGGCGAACGCGGGGAAACGACGGCGGGTTGCGGGGACCCCAGCGTGCCTCCGTTGATATCACTGCCGTCGCCGTCGTTGGTGTCGTCGCCATTGCCACCACCACTACTACCAACACCACCAGCACCACTACCACACACCGAAGACGAGAGCATCCTTTCCGAGACAAAGGATCCCCCGCCTTGCCGCATCGCAGACCGTGATCGAGCCGACGCGGCAGCGAGCAACGCGATCGAGTCCTGCGAGGCGACGGAACGACAATCTTGTGTTCCTGCGAGTTCCGGAGAGCCCCGTCACGCCGGATCGTCGACCTTGGTGCCGCAGGCATCCGTACCATCTCCGGTGCGCAAGACCACAAAAGAGCGGATGCTGGAGGAGATCACGGCCCGGCTTAAGCTCACCCACGGCGAAGACGTCGTGAACAACTACGCGCGTCTCGTGGAAGAAACCGAGGAAAGGGTGACCTACTCCGCGGGCACGGGCTGCCACCGCCCGGTCCTCTGGCCCGGGAGAGGCTGCGGACCGAAAGCCACCGAGGCTTTCGCGAAACGCAGGGCCGAGGAGACAACGACATTGGGTGCACGAACCAGGAGCAGCACCAGCACCAGCAGCTTTGACGCGTTCGACGCATTCCTCGCGAGAAGGGCCGCGGCAGAGGAAGACGACGGCGACGACGAAGAGGGGAGCTACATGGAAGTCACCGTGGTCGAAGAGGCGGACGAGGAGAAAAGCTATTTTGAGTACGTCATCGAAGAGGATTGTGGTGGCGGGGAAGGGTATCCGGACCGATCGTTCCCGCGGGAACGCGCGCAATCCACCACCACCAAGGCAGGGGGCACCGGTTCTCCGTCCGGGGGCAGCCCGACCTGCGTCGCGAGCGAGGTCCTCGTGCCGCCGTGCACCTCCGTGATCCCCGACCTAGGGTCACTCTGCGACACCTTCGACCCGCCCGGCGGCGTCTCGGTGGTGTACCTCCTCCCTTTCGGCGAGAACGACGATGCGACGTGCCTCACCATGGATGAGTGACTCGGAGACACCCCCGATCCGGTTCGGTCGGCGGGAGCTCCATGTGGCAGCACTGCGGACAGTGCATAAGCACTAGCCGGAACAGAACAAATTGAATGGCCAATCGTTCTTCCACGGAAAAGACGAAACGATGGTGCTGGCCTTTTGAAATACAGGCCAAAGCAATGCATTTGCGATGTGTGTATATATTGTAATAGAAGTATATATTAAAAATGAAGATTCGCGAGTAGATCGTTACAATTCATTCCTGTCTTTCGGTCTATTCTATGTTTTGAGCCATAAGGAAAGAGACTGAATGGCTGCTTTGAAAATCTTTGTGTAAATTTTTGGAGAAAGGCAAAGCATCCAACCATTTTCCAAAGAGATCAGCTAGTCCAATTGTGCTCGGACGGATCCAAAAGACAAAATATACTCTAATATCTCGACCTGGGTTGGTTGGACGAAACACGTCAATGCTCTTCACCCCCTTGTGTTCGAAGGATGTCCTGGAGATCGGTTTCCATTTTGTCGCTTGGTCGAAAACCACTATCCGCCATGGATCGCATCAACGATTTCAACTGGTGGAGTTTTTCCTCCGAAGGAACTTGACTGGTTTTTATGGTTGCCTTCCACAAGGCTCGATACGTCCATTCATCGGGAGGAGCGAGGCCTGCCTCTGATTTCGATCTTTCGAGAAATTCCTCGTACAAGTTATTTGCTCTGGCTGCGTTTCCTTCGTTGGCCCAGGCATTGATCACCGTGTTGTACATGATGCGATTGGGTCGGATCGTGGGGAAGTCTTGTGAATCATCACCATCAGGATCTTTCTTCTTGCACTCTTGCTCTTCGCTGATGCTTCGCAGCAAATCTTCTGCACGCTGGGCGGCACCGGGGAGTCCGGAACGGGCCCAGCACGCCAATACGCTGTTGCAGCAAATCGCATTGGGAGGCTCGTCGATCAACCGGTTCCGATGGAGTTCTTGCATCCGGATCAGCAGTGCTTCGGCACGAATCGGTGCATCGGTCCGCTTCGACTTGGACCAGCCGTACAGGACCGAAGAAAAAGCGTGTGCACCGAGCCTGGCTCTTGTGCGCTCGTCGTGAATGAGTTCGCTCAGCAGTTCCTCTGCTTCTTCCACTCTTCCCCCTCGGGCGATTGCCTTGAGGACGTTTGTACAGGTGTATGCATTGGGTTCCAAACCAGAAACCTTGCGCATGTCACGGAACAAGCGGAGGGCTTTGTCTGCGGCGTCTGGTTGGTCGGATCGTGCATACGCATCGAGGACGGCGGAATAGCTAAAGGCGTTGGGTTGGATTCCGTAGTCATTCTTCATCCGGCGCAGAAGCTGGTGGGCCCTTTCGGCAGCAAGCGGATCCCTGGAGGCCTTAGACCACGCGTTTAGGATGGCCGTGAAGGTAACAACCGTCGGTTTCATTCGTGGGTCCTTCGTGCGATCGTATTCACCGAGGCAGGCTTCCAGAAATTTGTGGGCGGTCTCGGCGCGACCGCTCCTCCCGTACGCGTTGACAAGGCCCGTGTACGAATAAACATCCGGTTGGATGTTGTGCTCCTCCCTCATTTCGTGGAAGAGGGCCTCGGCGCGCTTTACCGCTTCTGCTTGTTGCTGTTTTCCAGACGCAATGTGCCTTTTATGCTCTCGGCTCCCACGCGGGTGGGTTCCCGAAGCGACACGGGCCCAGCCATGGATGCAAGCACCAAAGCTTTCGACGTTGGGTCGAATGCCGACATCCGGCCGCTGCATCGTTCGGAGCAGCTCTTCGGCTCGCTCGGCGGCTTCGAAGGTCCCCACCCGTGCCCATCCCGCCAGGACGGACGTAAAACTCTGCACATCGGGTTTGGTAGTAGTTGTGCTCGCGGTTTCGTCGAAGAAAACGTCGTTTCTCGCGTCGTCGGTATCACCGGAGTCCTTGCCGTCGAGGAAGTTCGATGTTTGCGGCGTAAGATTGCCTCGACAGTCGTTTTGGTGTGCGGTGATCATTTCCTCTAAAAGTTTTTCGGATTGCAGCGGTTCTCCCGCTCTGCTGAAGGCGGTAATGACGGTGTTGTAGGTAATGGTGTTCGGAGGAATCCCCGCGAGTTTCATTTGTTCCATCCAGTCGTGTGCCCGACGGGCGGCATCGATGGGTCGCTCCCTCTTTCCCTTCGCGCGGAAGGAAGACGAACCACTTCCCGCTCGCTTGGTCCATGCATCTATCACGATATTGTACGAAGCCACGTTCGGGGGCTCGGAAAGAAAGCCGTCCTTGTCGTGATAGAGCCGTTGCATGTGCCGCAAGACGTCTTCGGCACACTCGGCATTGTGTTTTGATGCGCGGTTGCGATTGCCGCTCGCATCTCGCTTGCCCTGTTCCGGTGCCGCGTTTTGGTACGCCATTAGGAGGCAGTTGAAAGACCGGACATCGGGATATTCCCCCTCCCGGATCATTCGATCGATCCATGCCCGAGCCTTTGCGGGATTCCCGGAACGGGCCCACGCCAGAAGAACAAAGGTATACAGGTTTCGCTTGGATTGCTGGTGGTGCACTCCCAGGTGTTTGGATTCGGATTCGGGCCCGGCCAAGCCCCCCTGGTTCTCCTGCTCTTGCCAAAAGTCGTCCCATGTTTTCAGCCACGCTTCCGCTCTCACCGCGGCGCCGGGCAGTCCCGATTCTACCCATGCGTGAACCACCGTGCCGAGTGCCACGACGTCCGGCTGGGCCGGGCCCCCCACGCGGGCGTCTCGCTCGGAAGACCGGGAACCGGCGGTTCTCTTGTAGTCGTTGATCCAATCCCGGAGGTACCGATCGGCAAACAAGACGCCCTGGTTGTGGCGGCTGTCGTGCCACTCCTCGCGGTGTTTGAGGTTGCGATTGCCTCCCGCAGAAGGTTCTTCGTCGGCAAGGCTTCCCTTGGTCCCGCTCCGCGTGCTGCCATCCATCGCCGACGACGAATACTTGCCGGCGGCGTCCAGGACAATGGCGTGGGTGGCCGTATCCATCCGAACGAGGTTCCGGCCCTCGTATCGGCGAAGCTTCCGCGCCACCTCGGAGGGGAGGCTCGGGGACGACCGCCGACGCCCGCGGTGGGACTCTCTGTCACGGTGGTGCTCGACAAAGTCGTCTCGCCACAAGACGAGGATCGGATTGAGCACGTCCGTCGTGGACAACACCGGTGGCAGTCGCTGGTGGTTCTTTCTATTGCTCGCTGACCGATTGTGGTGTGGTGGTTGCTGCTGCTGCTGCTGCTGCTCTTCTTCCCCGGCCAATTCCCGGTCGAGCCGATCGAGAATCTTCCAGCAGGTTTCGATCCGAATGGAATCGGCCGTTCGGTTTTGGTGGATGCTTCGGCGGCCGTCCTCCCCAGCAATGCCGTGGTTTGCCCCGCCGTTGCCGAACCAGTAGGTCAGCACGGTAATGGCTTCGTTCCATCTCCCCTGGTCGAAGGTCCCCACCGGCAACCCCAGGATTCGGTCCGTCATGCCGCGCCACTTTAATTCAATCGAGGTGGCTGTCGTTTTCGCAGTCGCTGCGGTTGAAGCGCTGCTGCGGGCTCCCCTCCGCCATTCGCTCGGGACGGCTCTACTCTGGAGGTGGAAGGCACCCCGGCGAAACGGGCCGGGCGGAGGTCCCGTGCCGTTCGCGGCTCTGATTTCCGCTGCTGCTGTTGTTGTTGTTGTTGTTGTTGATCCCGTCGTTAGGGTGGCCGGGGTGCGTTGTCCCAAAGGTCCGTGGAAGAAGAACGGAAGGGCAATCCTCGGGCCTTGGTGCTGCTGCATCCGCAAAACGCAGTAGCGAACCAAACGATTTTGAAACGAATGAACCGATCGTCGCGTTGTCGACGGCAGCATCAAGGACAAAGCCGCTGGCGAGGAAAGCATCCCCCTCATTGTCCCTTTGAGTCGTGCCGTACACGGTCTAGGTTCTTACAGCACAACTATTAACGATGCCTTCCGCACAAAATCATGGTTCAATCGGAATCGGATTTTTCCTTCACGGCCGCTCCATCTCTTCCTCTTCTCTTCTTCGCACCGGCTGAATCGTGACCGATTTCTTGAGTTCACTGCTATCAATTCAGAGTAACGCAATGGTATGAAGTGAACACCCGTGACTTCGTTCTCTGTTTCTTCTGTCCTCTGTGTTTCCGCTAGGAATGCGTAAAATTGTTGCGACGACCATCCGTAGAAGTATTCACCTGAAACAACAGGGGAAAATTTAGGGTCCCTGAATCTAGCACTGGGGAATACCCACGGTTTGTCTACGGTACCGTTCATACGGGTACCCAAGTACGAGTACTGCACTAAGTACGAGTACTAACGATGTTAAGGTCTGTGATATTATCTGTACATACAATACATACTTTAATTTGATTTAATTAGATATGATCATATGAAATAGATTCAATAGATTCAACACGAGTATAAACCAAGCGTGTCGGCCCTCCTCGGGAGTGAGGTCTTTGGTTTTCTAAAAATTTTAAATTTTCAACCTTTCACGGTCACGTGTTGTACCGTTACAGTAACACAAGTAAAATTACTACGAGCCATGTATCGTATGGTACGGAACGATAGGTAGTACCGACGGATGCAGACTCGTAGTATCGCTTTCAATGTCCAAACAGTAGTACCGGTACCGGTACTTTCCGTTCCTGAGGAAAGAGTTTGTGAAAATTTGAGGAACTAGAATCAGGAAAGTGAGGAAGAGACAATAGATAGACTGCGACAGAACGCAAGAAGCTGCAGCAGTGATCAATAGATTGCGCAAAAGCGCAGGATACCGGCAGCAGCAGCAACAAGAACAACGAAACCACTAACGACAACCACCATCGCAATCGCCTCGGCCGTTCTATTCACGGCCCGAACATCCACCCTCCGTTTGGTGGAATAAAACACAATGGTTTCGTTATCTGGTGCCCCCTCACTGGTGCGAAGACGACGGACGACGACCCTTGCCGCTGTTCTTCCTTTCGTCTTGCTGGTGCTAACGGCTGCTACGGTGTGGTTTCGTCCGTCCTCCTATTACCACGATTTCTTCCACAGAGACGGGATCGGCATCGGGGAGGTGGCCCAGACCGATCCATTGGCATCGGCATCGGCACCGAAGAGTGCTCCGGGATCGAACCCGAACAACCACGAAGACGATGGGCCCGCGAAAATGGTTCCCGCAGAACTCCTCGAGCTGGGCGTCTACGACGAATCGAGGGATTTTGTCAACGAGCGGGGATTCTCTCCCACCGGCTGGGAGGAACCCAACGCCGATCCCACGGTCTGGGGCCCCTGTCGCTTCACGCCGGTGCGGCCCGGGTCGTCCTTTTCGATGGCCGCCGACGTTTCGTGGGCCGACCGGAGGCGGTGGACCCGTTCCAACGAAACCGCGAACGCGACGGCCCTCTTGTCGAGATCGGACGACTACTACCGGAACGCCGACCCGGACGATTTCGAATACAGGGTAGCAGTCGCTCTGTCGCAACTCACCGGCCACAACAAATCCAACGAAAAGCATCCCCCGTTCAAAGGGGGCTGGTGCCGCCCGGGGTTTTTGATCATTGGGGCGGGAAAGTGTGGGACCTCCAGCCTCTACCACTACCTGATGGGACACCCCCGGATAGTCCCGGCGATAGAAAAGCAGATCCACTACTTTAAGTATCACGCCAACACGAGACCCCTGGCCTGGTACTACGGACATTTTCCGACCCCGCAGAGCTTTTTGGACCACGGTGCCCTGATGACCGGGGAAGCCAGCCCGGGGTATTTGCCCTATCCGGAGGTGGCCAAGCTCGTTCACCAGACGTACGGTGGAACCGGGCAGGACGGAGCCGGAACAGACGTTGGAATGTCACTGCAGTATCTGTTGGGCGATCCCGCGTACCGAAAGCGGGCTCCGGCGGTTCCTCCCCGGATCATCGCCGTCGGGAGAGAGCCGCTAGATCGCATGTACAGTTCCTACCGATACAACTACGTCGTTCCGACCATTGAACACCTGCGGTCGAGGGGCCATCCCGCGATTCGCAAACACCGCCGCTATGGCACAAAAGCCAAGAAAAAATCAAGCCACAAGGAACACGCGAGCGAGGAATTCGTCTTTGAGCTCAACCACCCGGACGACGAGTACTACATGCCCTACTTGTTCACGCTGGAGGAGTTTGTTCGTGCCGAGCTGAAGCAGCTCAGAGGGTGCTTTTACGACTGGGGTAAGAACTTACTGAATGCCTTTCTAGGATTTGTACGCTTGTTTCGGTTGACGGAATGCACACTAGGTACTTGTTTGAACTCACCCGCGGCTTGTTTGCCTATCGATCGACTCCTTTTTCTCCTCAAGGTCCCCGAAAAACCTACATGCAATGGCGCCGTGACTCGATCTACGGGAAAACGATCAAGCTCCGGAACGGTGCTTTTGTCGACAACGAGTCAAGCATTGCAGCTGGTAAAAATGCCACGGATTCTTCCGCTCCGCCACCATTGATTGCTCTTGACGATGTATGCTATGGAAAGTCTGTAAACAAAACCGTTTATAGGGAGCAGTGGGCCGAGATGCAAATGAACAACCCGGAAAAGAAGGTTCTTCTGAACAAAAACCTGCACCTGACGCAGGCTTTGATCGGACGATCCCTCTATACCTTTCCGCTGGAATGGTGGTACCTGGACGTTCACAAATCACCACAACCACCAATTTTTGTTTGCACGGACGAACTAACCGATTCAGAAACCCTTAGCGAACTCACGGCGCAGCTTGGCTTGCCCGCTTTTGATGGCTTTGACCAAGTTCTGGCCGAGGGTGCGTACAACGTTGGGGGACACAGGGGATACGACACGGCGACGTCGTGGGAGGAACTCGAACTGGAAAAGCAACAGAAAGAACAGCAGCAGCAGAACAACGACGAATCGTCGTCCAGATATTCTAGCAGTGGCAGTGGCGGTCCCAATCGCACCCGCCACCGATACGCTGCGGCCGAGGATGTTCCCACCGCACCGAAAGGGGCCGCCCCCGGCACTCTCACGACAAATGGCATCCCGCTTCCCGAAGATCTCTACCGGGAACTGAAGGACTTTGTCGACCCGCTCAACGAACGATTGTTTGCTCTGACGGGAAAGCGGTGCAATTGGTAGGCAAACGGGCATTGCATCGCGTCGCATTGCCTTGCATTGCATTACACCACATCGCATCGTCCCGTGGAGAGATCATGGCTCCGTTCGCCTGACCCATCTGTGTTCGAGAGACAACACGAAATGAATGCAAACGACTGCTTTGTTGTCTCTTCGGTTCGAACACGGGATCTGGCCCTCTACTCGTATCCGACCTGACGAAACCGAATCGAATCGACCGCGTGAGCAACAATCCCGTTGGATTCGCATTGTGCGAATGCCGCCGTGATGTAGAAGATGATTGGGTCCTACAAGAATGCACTCTGCTGCTTGTCTCGTTCTTACAAACATGAACAAACACGGTGTGTCKAAATTCTGGTGGAAGGCCACCAACACCGCGATCGAAGCGAGTGGACTCCTTTTGGGGAGAGCATTGGAAAATGAATTCTGACACGGCTTTCCAGGATGATCAAACACCAAATGTCGTATAATAATACCGTGATTATAGCATTAGGTTGTGAATGCAATTACTATTTCTTTACCAATTGCTTGTTCACAGAATAATTTGTTTCCATGCAATCCGATTGTTTTTTATGTCCCAAGATACCACCATCTATCAATCATCGGTGCATTAGTTTCCTTCACTGACTGGTTCCAAAGTTCTATTCGCAACGGACCAAGCTCACGGTTTTAGAATATTCATAGAGCTTGATGTCCCACTTGTTCTTCTCCAGCAGATACTCGTACACGTCCTGATACCCGATCCGGTCCCTCGCCGGTTTGTGTTTGGTGTCGTGTTTCTTTCTTTTCTTGCGATGGAGATCGTTCTGGAGCACAGCGGCTTGGACCGTTTCGGGATCTAGGCCCACCAGGTTTGCTAGTGCCAAGATCCCTTCGTTTAGGCACTCGATGTCCAGCACCACGGTGAACCGATTGAGAACAGAGACCGCACGGTCGTAATTTGTTCGGTCCAGGTTGCTGTAGAGTGGGGGCAAGGCGGAGGGAAGATTGTCGTCGGTGAACATATAGAAGAGGCCATTCTGGTCGGGGCGATGATCGTTGTTCTCTTTTTGCTGTTCCCGGTGCCGCTGTTTTTTGGCAGTCTTGAGCCGCCGCTGGCTGGTCGACTCGGACGTTGTAGCAGAGTCGTCTGCGACAGCAGTCGTGTTGTTTTGGGGCGTGCCGTTGCCGACAGCGGATCTGCCCGCGCTCTTGTCTCGCTTCGTCCCCTCAACGATGCGGAAGAAGAAATTGTCCGCGAGCCTCCGGTTCGGATTGAAGGCAATGTCCCACCAACCGGCGTGGCTCAGGTTCCCCGTGTTGTACCCAGGATAGTTCAGCTTCATGTTTCGGTTCCCCGCCAGGAGCCGAGATATCGGATCCCTCGTAATGATCACCGACAGCAACTCGGGGTGCTCCCAGTTCGTCTCCGACAGGTTACGCTGCATGTCGTCGACTCCCATGTATTCCCAGGATATCATGTGGAAATAGGGTCTCAGGGAGTGCAGGAAGGAGTCGGTCTCGTCGTAAGCCCATGGCGTTCTGGACAAAAAGGTCTCCTTGTTCAGCGTCGTGTAGTAGCTCTTCTTTGCCTCGGGAACGGTACCGTTCTGATCGAACCAGCAAGCAAATGAGGGAGCGATCTCCTCCTTCTGCGATGCCACTGGGCCCCCGCTCCGTCCAATGATTCCACAAAAGGTTGTCCCACCGTGGTGCGTCGCGTGGATGTTGAGCATTAATCCATTGCCTTTTTTGTAATTCTCGATTTGTTCGATCTTGGTGCGGTTGCGGATGGGCCGGGTCCTCGATTCGGCGGGATCCAACCCATCGTCGCCGTGACTCACGCGTTTCTTCGACAGCAAGGGCAGGAATGCATGCGCTTCTTGGGAATGGTCGGCGAAAACCGATGACTCGGAAGCCACATCGGCAATCCCTACCAGAATCCATTGCTGCAAGCGCAGAAACAGCAACGCCGCTACGAACAAGACCAGGCCGTTGCGGCTGTTAAAGCACAAAAGGGACGACGGCCACGGAGAGCATTGTTCTGTGCGGGGTTCTCTATCGTCGCCCAGGGTGGCATTCCTATCGTTGCTAATTCTGATGCCACCGTCTGGTAGGATTGCATTACCCACTCGCTGGCGTTTTGATGGCGCCATAGTGAATCATCGGTGTTTTTTTGCTTTGCGTTGTTTTGTATTACGAATTGAAAGTCTTTCTGTACGACGCTAGCCAGAAGATGTTCCTGTTTTGTGCGAGGAGGTTCGGTCAATCAATGCATGGGCATCGTTGCGTTACTACGAATATCATAACAAGTGATCGCCACGCGAAGAAATTGTTTCTCATCGTTAATTTAATGATGCCATCCTTATTTTTTCAGTACAAATTCTGCAGAGCTCTACTGAGTTTTTGGTCCCAAAAATTTTCAGATTGATTGGGTGATTCCCGTTACTCTAGATCTCTAAAACTCTAAATCTAGGGATCTAGAGTAACGGGAATCAAAATATTCAACGGACAGACTGAGAGGATGCCAGCTCGATGCCAGTCTTTAGGGAATTTGGAATCTTAAGTAATTTTCAACGTAAAGACTAAAACGCGCGCCGTGGTTCAAAGTAAAACATGAAATTTCTAGCGAAACACATGAACTCATTTTAGTAACGCTTACGAGGAGCCCACAAACACACTAAAAGAACACAGTTTCCTTCCAGCAACAAGAAGGAAGGCAGCATCGAATATTGACAACAATCGAACATTGACAACAATGGGAGTACTGGAAGTGATCACGATSTACTGGTACATTCATTTGAATAACCAAGAAAGTTACAAGAAGAAGCTCTCTCCTGAGGAGAGACGTCGTAGGGATAGGAGAACTCCAAGGATTGCAATCCGGAGATATGCTGATTCATCCTTCCTTCATCTGTTCCACTCAGGGGATGATCAAGCACTGCTCAACTGCTGTGGTATTGACCACAAAGTCTACAGGGAGCTAGTTGATGTGTTCGCTCCACTTTGGAACAAGTATACTGTCCACAGAGACACCAATGAAATTGTGGAAGTTCCTTGTTTCCCCAGTGGGAAGCCCGTGGGGAAAAAGAGAGAGGTCGATGCTGTCTGTGCTATTGGATTGGTCCTTTACTGGTACAGAACAAGAGGATCTGTTGCAAGGWCWATGGCAATGGCSTTYGGCTTAACATCCACAGTGATGTATAAGTGGCTCAAGTTTTCAAGGAGAGTGATGCTGGTTGCTCTTCACAAGCATCCAGAGGCCATGGTGAGTGTCCCAACTGAGCAAGAAGTGGATGCTTATGTTAATGCAATTGGAGAGAAGTATCCAAGGCTTGGAGAAAAAAGAGTCTGGGCCGCTGCTGATGGCCTCAAGAGTGCAATTGAAGCTTCAGAAGACTGGTTCAAACAGAGAGCCTTCTACAATGCTTGGAAKGAGAACACCTTTGTCAACAGTGTGTTTGTCTTTGCACCGGATGGTAGAATCAGGATTTCAGTCTTCAACTGTCCCGGGGCTTGGCACGACAGTGCCATTGCTGACCATGGCGTGTATGACAGGATTGAGGAGGTTCATGCACAGTCCAATGCAAAGGTCGTGGTTGATTCAGCMTTTGCCTTGAAGRAWARRGMSCATATCCTCATCAAAAGCTCACAGCAWGACCCSGAACAGGAGGAYCTCCTCCTCATCAAYAGGGACGCRACTTCMTTGAGACAGATGTCSGAGTGGGGKATGAGAATGATTCAAGGACAGTTTCCAAGGATCAAAGACCGGATGTTCTTGGAGGAGCATGGAGACAGGAAGATCATCATGAACTTGTTGGTCAACCTCTACAACTACCAATGCAGCACTGTAGGACACAACCAGATCCTGTCGACCTTCATGAGGACACCAGCGGCGACAGAGGCCGACGTGGGACAACCAGGGGGTTTCTTCCATGTAGGACGCGATATATCCCCCCATGGGAATGATGTGTTTCTTGGCTGATTCCCATGGTGGTTTAGAACTTCAAACAATTAGTAACAAGAAAGATTAAATGCAATTAGAAAATTGTAATTAGCTCTATCGGCTTGGCGCTTTGATATAACGCGTGCTTCGATGTAACGTAATAGCGTCTACACGACAGGACAGCACAAGGCACACGCAGCAAAAGAACGCAGAACGCATCTGCTTACCATCACCACCATGGTGAATTGCCTCCAGTCGTTACTTTTGTTAACCATTGATGAGTTTGCTGGGTGTGTTTGCTTTTCATTCCGTAGAATACTGTAATAATGAACACTCACTACTGCTGCCGCTGCTGCGGATCGCGTACTTGTACTGTTACTGTCATCATATTATGTTTTATCGTGAACCTTGCCCCACATCCGTTGATAGTGAGCAATGCTCTGGAACATTTAAATTTATACTGTAATGAATACGAGTTCACTCTTATCATGCAATGAAGAACAGCGTATGATATGAAATATGTGCATGCCGAGGAGGGCCTCATGTGCATGCCAATATGAATCGTTTTGGACCGTTTTCGTGGGATTGCCCCTACATACCCACGTGCTAATCCCGCATTGGTATGCACGAAAACCCATAGAAGACCAAAAGGCAGGAATACGTACAGTCCCTACCATCACACACTGCCACAGCGAGGAACAGTAGTGCTTGCATTACTGCTCGCATACAGTCGATAGGCTCATTAAGCTGGTTTAAGCTGGTTTGAATCCGTGTAATTTAGTTCATTTCAATTAGTTTGTAAAAGAAGTAAGCAACGTTGTGTTTTTAATCGTTTTCACCATGGGATTCTTCTCCTGTGGCCGTACGGGGGCGTTTCTCGGTCGACTGGTGGTAAGGAGCAATGTCATTGTTTGTGGCTCTCGACTGCTGAACTTGTGTGCTTTGCCATTGCTGGAAGCAACTCATTGCCATTGCAAGAGCGTTCTTCCACATCAGGTTTGTCTCTTTAGCAATTTGGCTTGCCTCCTTTGCAATCACGGAGTGCTCCTTTGCTAGCTTAGACTGCTCCAAAGCTAACTCAAGATTTTCTTTGGCCCTTTCTTGCTGGCTCTTCAAATACTCATTGAATACAGTAGCGTCAGGAACTTTCGAATAAGATCTCTTATTCGAAGATGAAGAAGACTGTACCAGCACTTTGGAGGGCTTCACGGAGGACGAGTCAATCTTGGAGGGCTTCACGGACGAGTCGATGGTTGATTCATCGACAGCAGCCAGGGGGATGATCGGTGCTCCCCCACCACCTACAGCCGGGGGGATGATTGGAGCCGGGGGGATGATTGGTGATTCCTTGGAGGGGATGCTCTCCAAACCCTCCTCAGCCTCATCAACAGCAAAGCCTTTCTTCATGTCAAAGTCCTCCTCTCCAGTACCAAGGTTTGCTTTCTTTCCTATCAAGTAATGGGCGCGCCTGGCAAGCATCACGTACCTAGGCATGTTAGGGTTACCAGTTGAGCTCTTCTTTTTTTTGATCGCGTTGTACTTGTTCCGGATGGATTTCTTGCTTCTATCAAAGGGATACTTTACAGCATGCTTGGTGACAACAGTATCCCATTGTTCCAAATCAATCGGGAGTACTTCCACTATCAACTCCATGAGGCTCTCTAGCTCATCTTCCAAGTAGTTGACAGTACCAGTTCTCCGGCCATTGGCGCCGTTTGGGTTGGCATTCGGTTCCATTGTTGTAAGGAAAATAACCCGGGGGATTGGTGGACAATGAGCTCCCTCTTTGAGGTCGACGTCCGCCTCCTCTTCCTCTCTTTGATGCAACAAAGAGAGGTAAAAGAACGTAGTGACTATAAAAACTGATTGTTGGGACATTGGCATTGTTTATGGTCAACTGGGCGCCTTAGCGCCATTGTCAAATTGAGGCGCCTCCTCTTTTAGTGAGGGTCTTGTTTAGAACAACGGAAGTCTTTATTTTGGCGGGCCTTTCTGTTGAGTCTTTTGAGACTACTTGAACGGACGACTGGAAAATTTTATTCGTGGGTTCCACTCTAGATTTAGAGTTTTCAGAACCGGGAGTTGGACCGGTTCTAAAAACTCTAAATCTAGAGTCAAAAACTCCAAATTCTGATGGACTGACAGACCAAAAATTTAGAGATCTAGAGTAACGGGAATCACCCATTATGCGCCACAAGAATAGTTGCAAACTACCTCAGTAGATTTTGTACTATTCTACTGTGCAAAGGATGGCATAAGTAAATTAATGATGGGAACCAATTTCTTAGTGTGGCAATCACATGTTATGATATTCGTAGTACGAGTACGTACTCGTAGTCAGGGGTCATAAAATTTAGAGGGGTGTGCAACGAATTTTTTTGGCATCACAACAAACAAGAAAAAAAAGTGAAACTCATATTCCACGTGTGGTCCAAATTTCCAAAAAGTCCCCCCCAAGGATTTTTTTTCTTTCTCATTTTTACTGCATAATACTAGTAAAACTATCCAACCTTTAAGCAGTTACAGCTTTATCAAAAATACTACTATTTTAATTTTTGAGTAGCCAGTCTAGTCCAGTTTTTTATGCTGATTCTGGAGGTACCATTTTCTTGGATATTAAATTGATATTTGTGGTACTATTTTATCATTAGAGAATGAACATATTTTCCATACTAGTAGTAGTACTAGTACGAGTACTATTATGATGTTCACCTCAGTACCACTATCAACAGCAGTAGTAGTGCAGTCGTTGCTTTGGCATTCAATACTGCTTGTTGTAGTCGCTTCCGATTTGAAGACAGCACCGGCAATTTTTAATTCTTCCCTACTACTTTCCCTTGCAAGTTCCAACGCCTATATTTCGGGAAGAGGAGGTAACAATAGTAGTTTTTCATCCGCTAACGGAATTTCCCTTTCTCTCCCTCCCTGTAGCATCGTTCAAAAATATTCGACCCAGAGGATGTACCATGATTCAACCGAAACTGAAGCACTTCAAACCAAACCGACTAGTGGGTTCGAGCTCACTCGTCCAGGTCTATGCGAAGGGCATGGCCGACAATACCCTTCGAATCGAATAGGTATTTTTCGTACCCCGAAGGAACCTTGGTGTCTACACATCGTCGGTCGACACTACATGCAAGAGCATCAAAAGTTTGTGTTCCGGTGATTGTGGCTCTGGCCTAGTACGCAGAATGCAGGGAACGATGTTTGCGTGAACAACTAATCAATCTTTCGACCAGGCACCGACAACAACACGAGCATGAGTAAACTCAAAACCTCGACTGCGAGCTCGCCGTGGAATCGACCAACTTTTGGTAGGCGGTCCGGAAACGCCGAAAGAACAGCTTCTCGTCTTTGGCAAAAGCCACAACGTGCCTCTTCAATCCGTCGTCGACCACCAGGGCGACATCTGTGGGAATAAACGAGGCCTCCCCTCTCTCGATCTCCCGCTTGTTCCAGCGGAGGAGAGTCGCAAAGTAACGATTCGAGAGGGTGTCGGGATCCTTCGTGACAAACGGCCACAGCACGGGAGCATCTTCCAGACAGGCGCGGGTAAGGTCCCGGAGGCAGTCCTTGCGCATTCCCAATAGCGTTACGTGGCGGCCCAGGTCGTGGGCCCCGCTCAGGGCCACCAGCTCGCTCTCCGTCAGCCCGAGCCTCCGAAAGTAGTTTCGGAGACCGAGCGAGTCCAGGCCGGCCGAGGGAAGGCTCGAGGTGATCGAGGCCCGATCGCCGGGGCCTTGATCCATAGTTGTAAATCCGGGGATCGGCCGATCCAGGAACCGATTGTCCGCAACTTCCTTGTCCCTCCGGCCCAGCCGGACCGGGATCTGTGGGCCCTCCGCGGCCTCCACCGCAGCGGCACCCGATAGGGCGAGCGTGTCGGCAAAGGACAGGGGACACGAGGGAAGTGGTGCGTTCTCTTCTTCTATTGGAGAACTTCCCGGTACCGAGAATCGAACCAGCTGCTCTTCGTAGACGCTTGTCACCACTGCCAGGGGCTTCGCTAGGCCCCGGTTTTCGGGCCACTCGAGCTCGTAGCGAATGGAACCATCCGCCCCGCCAATGCTCGGATCGCTGGCGACACTCCGCACCGTCGCGTCGTGAAACGAAAGCCTGAGGATGGACCCCGCCATGGAGGGGTTCTCCTCCCTAACGATGCGAGTGATTTCCCGTCGCACAAAGGCAGCAGCCGCGGCGTATTGGCGGTCTTCGAGCGGCGATGGAATTGTTCCAACCACGGTGGAAGACACCGATGGAAACGGTCCGGGCTGTGCGGTTCCTACGACACCTCCGGTTTGGGTGCCGCTGGCCAAATCAAAATCGACTGCCGGGGACGATGGGGAGATTGTGAGCGATGACGCTAGTGCCGCCGCTTTCAGAAAAGCACCCCGTGTTAGTATGGCAACCATCTTCGCTCCGCCCGCAATTTTCTTGGGTCAAAATATTGATCGTTGTCTCCGATCCAAAGCTTCGCCTTTTTCTCTCTGTGCCCCGTTCGTTTCCTTGCGAGACAATTTCTCGATCGCATCGAATGACGGGAAGATGATGTCACGAACGACGATGATGAAAGAAATCCAGAGTCGTCTTGTTATCAGCTTATGGGACGTATCTACGTATCGTATGGTACATAGCTCTAATGTACCTGTGGATTCTTCATGCGAATGAAAAAAAGGGATCGATGTCCTGGCCTGGTCTTCGACGTCACATGTATGGTTCCCTACGGCGCGAAATTAAGCCGAAACGCACGCAGTCACAGGAATCATGACCGACCCCTGCTGCGCAGAGATTGGTGATGGATTTGATTTTTTGAGAGATGCCTTCGTTCTCCGAGATCTTTCCCATTCATCTCCATTCACAACGTACGTACCGATGCGTACCCGGTACTTGTCTCGTACATACTCGTACTCGTACAGAACCTTTCTTGGTATCTATCTGTCGTCTAGGTTGTGAAAGAATGAATGAAGATCTCAATCCGAACCGGAAAGCGAATTCCATTTCTTCATGTTCATTAATGAGCAAGACGAGCACACCGTTCGACACTCGCAAGGATTAGCATTGTTGCTTTGGTATTAAAAAAGCAGAAGCAGGGTGGTCAAGTAACAATTGTTGATTGGAGTAAAGTGCATTGCAAGAAATCGCGCATAGAACACCCCACCACAGCATTTCCTCCTTCGACTTTGAAACCGATAAAGGAAAAAAACTATGGGTGTCGGAGGCTGGTCGGCTGCTTTTGGGTCAACCTATGAAGGGCTTGCACTCTTCCGAATACTTCTTGGAACACTTCTGGCGGCCGAACTAATCCTTCGCTTTCGCTTCCTCCATGTTTTCTATACCGATGAAGGGTGAGTGAGTGCGTTGTATTTTTCAAATGACTTTGCAACAATAAAGTCGTGTGGTGTTTTCGGTTGCGCATTCAACCAATCTGCACAGCAGCGAATCTCTCTTGGTTCCTTCACATTTCGAACTGCATGTACGGTTTATGGTTAGTTAGTTGTTGTACTCAATTTTTATGTTTGATCCCTCTATGCACACAACAAACTCAGAACCAAGCCGCTACGACTGATGCTACCGAACATAGACGATCTGTATCGCCTGGTTTGCTACCATTGCCATTTTGGGACGCTCTTTCAGCAGCAAATGCTCTTGGTCATTCAGGTTTTGGTAGCTGTTTGCCTTGCCATAGGATACAAGACAAAAATGGCTGCTATCTTGTCGTTTTACATGTACACGAGCTTGATATTGCGCAACACTTGGCTTTACTTTATACTGGATCGATATTTTTATTATTTGCTCTTCTACTCCATGTTTTTGCCGCTTGACGAACGATGGAGTCTTGCTGCAGTCTTAAAACCTCGGCATGCCAATGCCACTGCAACTGCAACGAAATCCATCCGCGAAAAGAATGTCTTTATCAATCCTGCCACGGTGGCACTCAAAATGTTGGTCGTCTGGATCTACTTCGACGCCGGATCTGGAAAATATATGGATCCCAAAAAGGGATGGACGTACCACGCCGACCCCCTCCCGGCCCTCGACACCTATGCGCGACACACGGTTCCGGCACAGCATCTGTACGGCATGATCGGACCCGAAGGCCTGCGCTTGATGACACCATTGGTGGTGTGGGTAGAGCTCCTGTGTGCCCCAGTGGCACTGGCGGGATCCTATCTTGGGAGCGCCAAAACGGTTTGGTTCGCCATTGGCGTGATCTCCATGATGCACCTCGGCATATCCCTGTGCATACGGAACTCGAATCTTCTGAGCTACGTGGCCTGCTGTGCATGGCTCGTCTTTCTCCCCCTGGGTTGGAAAAATGCGGACCGAACGAACGGTGACATTACCCATGATCCAAGAAAGAAACGCGATAGCGGTGCTACGACCACGCCTATCCGCGCGCAGTTGTTTGCGCGTGGACCCACATCGGTGGTGACTTGGGTGATGGTAACGGCTATGGTTGGTGGAAATATTTGGTTCGAGACGATAGCCCCTGGATGTACCACGGAAAGTTCGCGACTCATTTGGAGCACTGTCTTTCAAAACCGATGGAATGTCTTCATTGGTGCCGAGGAAGTGAGTTTGCATTGAAGACATCCATATCTTTTCATATGTAACTCGCTATTGGAAGTCTACAAACACAGTCAATTCTCATGCCTTCTTCTCTTCTGACTTCTTTCATTTGTCCACCCGTCCCATAAAACACAAATCTTTTCGTAATACAAATATACATAGTACGTTACTTGGGAGATTGCTCCGGGCCGGCTGCAAGATGGATCAGTGGTGGACGTGTGGGGGCAAACAGACATTGTAAACTGGAACATGCCTGGTTCTGGGGCGCCATGTACGAGCACTTCAAGGCCAGGTAGGTGGCGATCCTTCCCGTACCTGGCCGAACTAGATGGAGAAGAGGCGGAAGCCCTGTGGGGTTATTTGTGCCAAGAATGGGATCGAAATAACGGTGTATCCGAGAACAAGAATCCGGGACGGAAACTCCTTCGTTACAATTTTTTCATGCTGCAAGCGGACGTTTTGCCGAACATGGGGTTTTCGTCAACCCGGAAGCGACTGATTTATTCGCATGAGTGTTCTTCTGCTCACAAAAACGATCGAGACGGTTTGCAGAATCAAACATATGGTGGCAAAGAAATCAGTAGCGATGGGCAAGAATTGTGATTACTGAGAGAGAAGTATGTGTGTGGGAGGAGCTAAGCATATTCAATACGCATGCTTACAACTTTTCCTTCTTGGCCCCCGAACTGTCGCAGAGAACAGAAGTGTTTATGTCGGTGGGAGACGCTTGCCTAGTCCTATTTCTTCACTTCAAGAACATAGCTACTACTAGCTACATCATCCAGTCAGTGATGAGCTTTCAAATGTTTGCTGACTTTGTGGTCTGGTGTGCTCAAGTACAAGTACTTGGTTACTTTCTATTATTGTTGAATAATGCCTGCTGAAAGCCTTTACCATCAAACTGAAAGCAGAGTATGTCATTGTCACAATGGCGGGTCAGAATGTACTTTTGTTTAATCTTGCAACACACAAGAAGAATGGCCAATTTATTTTTTGTTCAAATTACTGCTGTGGCATTTTCCTTGGGGACTTTCTTAGTCTTTTCAAGAATAGTTTTTATCATTAACAAACTCACGCAGTATTACTACTAGTAGTAGTACTTTTTTTAGGTCCATACTACTAGTTGTTCTAGTACTAGTACCAAACAAAATGCTCCAAGAACAAGTGCAAAATATGACAGAAGAAGATATTCAGTCTCTAATTATGTATTGTTAGCTGCTATGCACTGATCTAGAATTTTTTTTGCATACACTGTGTCCTCATCTTGACACATGACTCTCTCCACCACGCAGACAGGAGTTTCACACTCTCAGCCATCCTTTTCAAGTCACGTTGAAAAAGCATGTTCTACAAGTTTTAAATTAATAATGATCACAAGATTTGTGATCAAGAAATTCAGCAATTCCGTTATCTGATTTGATCATATTTACTTGTGATGTAGAGTGATCACATGATTATTGGAAAAGCAGGATCCAATAATCCATTTTCTCCCCAAAAATCAACCAATTTCAATGTTTTTGAGAAAAATTGACTTCCCAGATTCCCTTTAGTCCCTCCACGTGGCTTCATTTTTTCCAAAGTTTCCGGTCCTGGATTCCTCCCCTCTGGATTTGATCTGAAAATTGTGATCACTTTTGATCACAAAAAATTGTGATCAAGAATTTGAATTTTGTGATCATAATTGATCACAAATTTTGTTTGGTAATTGAAAACCCACCAGCGTCCATATTAAGCTTTTAATTTATTAATCAGTTTTCGCATTCAGCAGCATCTATATTCAACATCGCCTCTATTCAGCATCCATATTCAGCTAGTGTCAGTATCCAACATCATTAATATTCAGCTTGCATCTGTATTCAGCGTCCATATTCAGCTAGCATCTGTATTCAGTGTCTTTAAAAGTATTCACCAGCATCCATATCCAGCTACTACTAGTACTAGTAGTGTCCATATTCAACAAGTGTCCTCCATAACGCATATAATTGATTTTGGCAAAAGAAAATGAGATCAGGATTTATCACATTTTTTGTGATAAAGAAATTCAGCAATTTTGTGATCAGATCTGATCACATTTTTTGTGATCAATAGTGGTCATATTCTTTGAAAAGGGGTGGTTGGGAATCTAGATTTGTTTGCGTTTTCTTTTTCACTATTTGGTGAGGGGTTCCAGGAATCTATTTTTTACACCAAAAATTGAATGCACATCCCCCCTATGAAATCCAACATGGGGGACATGATTTCTTGGGTTATTTTTCCCATGAAATAACCCATGATTCTAAAATGTGGGTTATTTTTGACCATGAATAACCCAAGTTTTGTTTGTGGGATAACCCACAAATAGCCCACAAGAAATCTGCTGGGCCTATTTTTGAACACCAAAAAACATTGATTAATTAAGGTGATTGACTATAATACTTGAAGTCCTTGGTTCTCCTCTAACCCAAAGAATGTTGCTTAAAATGTGATTATTCTTGGGTTTTTCTTGGGTTGTTTTTCCCATGAAATAACCCACATTTTTCTAGGGGGGAGGAATTCAAGAAAGGGGGATGCGTGTGTGGGTTCCAGAGGGCCCTGGAACCATGTCAATTTCATTTTTTTGGAAAAAATAGATTCCCAGGCCCCCACCTGGTACCAAAATTGTGATCAGTTTTGATCACAAAAATGTGATGAAATAACAAATTTGTGATCAGTCTTGATCACAAATTTGAACTGATTTGCATACTAGATTTGATACTAGTACTGTTTTTATATCAGATTGCAATATCTTAAAAAATATAATACTAGTACTTTATAGATGTTTGTACTAGTATAGTAGTCCTGTACTGAGAACATAATATGCCTTTTAAAGAATTCACATGATGACAAGGAAATGCTACTACTAGTAGCTACTAGGCTATTACTTGTGGGAGTGACTATTGAGTGCTAGAAGAAAAGTGAGTCAATGCTGCTCTTATCAAGGATTGACAAACAATGAAATCTAAGCTTGATCAGAATGAAGATTGAGTGATGTGTGAATCAAATGAGTCAAGTCAGTCATGCAAGTGAATCAAACGAGTAAAGTTGTCAATCATGTGGATCCTCCATAGTAGGATCAAATGAGTCATGAATGTAGAGTGTGTATGAATCATACATATGTTTCATATATATTTGTCATAGATATGAATCATACCCATGATCTGATATCATATGGACAGCACTACTACTATTACTATTCATCACCATGTATGAATATACTATTTTATATGAATCGTTGTATTCTTCCCACATCACCGCCCATGCTACTAGTACTAGTACTACTACTACTACTACCACTAGTAGTAGTACTATTTTGAATAGTTAAATATTTATGCATGAATACAGTACATATTAATTCTAATCCATTGAAAGAAATGTGATCAAAACTGGTCACAAAAAATTTTGATCAAGAAATTCACCAATTTTGTGATCATTTCTGATCAATTTTTTTTGTGATCAAAACCAATCACATAGTGAAAAGGGGGGGCCGTAGAATTTAAACTTTCCGAAAAACCTCGAAATCCGAAATCCACATGGTTCCTGGGGTTAAAATTTTCTTGTTCCTGACACGGATGAAATTCAGTAGTAGAAGTACAGTACAATGGTTCTCCGAAAAAGTGCTTAAAAAACTATCGCATTGCGCACCGCCCTAAATTCGTGACCCCTGATTGTTCCACCTGTTGAGCTCTGTAGAATTTGTAATGTTTCGGAACCTGTCACGTCCCTCTGGGAACCAAAGTCGTATCGTGCCATGTATCAAGTGCTAAGGACCATTCTTCATTGCTTTAACAAAGATATTGCTTAAATAATTTTGTATTCTAGTTTGTTCGCTGCCCCTAATACAGTAACTCATCGCGCTTCAAGTACAGTACCGTAATCTACCATACATTTATTATTCGTCGTCACTATTATTCCAAGTTTTAGGAATAGCCCCCAGAAAAGATGTACACTTGATGAAAATGCGTCGCTGCACTTGTGCATTTTCATCCGAAAGAAGAACGGTCAAAACGTTGATGATCCATTCAGTTGCTTACTTTCACAAAATGAAGTTTTCAGTTGTCCCAAAGGAATGGTATCGAGAATCCCGAAGAAACACGAAACCCCAGCAATGATTGAAGACAAGAACATGTTCAGCAAAGGATTGACAACAACAATCAAGCCTATTTCGCCTAGACCAAATTCAGAGAAGCCAATGTAAGTGAAACTCTGACGTTGTTGTGCAATCAGTTGGCGCGTCTGAAAGGCCCATGTTGGCACATTTTACCGTTCATACTTTTTTGTGCTTACGGTCCAAATGGCGTTCCTGTCGTACTATAAATCAAGAGCGTTAAACCTAAAAGGCTGGCGATCGAATGATAATCCTACTGAAAATGAAAAAAAAGCGAAAGTCATGACCTTGATCGATCGGATTTGCAGGTCCATAGATTCTAGTGACGGCATAGAACTAACAAAAACCGAATTAAGTAATCGCGCAGATATGTGGGCAGTTGAAGCAAATGAAATTCTTGTCGATGACGAAGAAGTGGAATTTAATCCGAGCGATCTTGAAGACATCGAACATTATTTTAAAGAATTTGAACGGGACGGGGAAAAAGTTGAGAATCGTAAGGATTTCGAAAAAATTGAATCTTTCATTTTAGAAGAACAGGATTCTGGACGAAAACAGAGGGAAACGGCTCGGCTACTAGCCGCGAGTGAAGAGATTCGCCTAGCTGCCGACGTTGCCCAGCTAAAAGAATATCGACTAAAACAGCAAAAAAGCTCAAAGGATCAGATTCTCTACGAAAAGATCGCCGACGCCGAAAAGGCATACGCGAAACGAAAATTGGTCATTGCTAAGGCTTCTCAACTGGCTGCCTCAGATTGCCGGAAGCAGTTCAAGAGAGTCCGCGCTTTCTTCCAATGTCTTCACGAGAGCCGCAAAGTAAAGCTTCGGAAACAATACGAACGATCTCTCAAAATCCAGTCTATGTTGCACCGAATGCGAAACACTGATCCCAGAGTAATGGCATTGGAGCAGAACACTGCGGAGCGCATATTCCGGAAAAAGGAATCCGATATGACAGAACTAAACATGCTTCAGAACCTTGAGGAAGCTACATACCTTGAGAAGATTATCTCATTATTAGACCAGGTTCAAGAAAGTAAGGAGAAGGCCGCTGATGCTTACTTCAAAATGCAAATAAGGAATCTTAAAGAACAAATGGAGAACCAAAAGAAACGGGAGAAGGAAGTCACTGATACCAAGGCTCAGAATATGATTGAAATGGCGGAATTGATTGCTACTTATGTCAAAGACGAAATTCAAGACCGAGAAGACCTGAGGAAAACGAAGGAACTCGTTGAGAGAACCGAACGCAAAAAAGATTTTCAAGCATCTCAATCGAAGGTTCTCTTGTCAGTGAGTGATTTGTACGACACTATCCTATGGTCGGTAGCAACTGGATCCATTGGTCTCTCTTCGAGCGAAACAGATTCTTTCGATTCTTGGGAAGATGACGACGAGGAAGAAGATCAACAGCATAACGACATTGCTCAGAACATCAGAAGCCCAAAAAGTGATGAATTTCATCCTGCAGGTTACGGATTTGGTGAACACAGAGAAGTGAATGATGCTAGCGGTGGAGTCGATAAGTCATCGAGGGACAATGACACTTCTTCAGTTCAAAGTGGATCAACTGCGAATTCAACCTCTATGGATTCGGCCGACAGTCTGTCTCCTGTGGGCCACATATTTGTCAAAGAGTTAAAGAGAAAAATTCGCGCGGCGGAAAAGAAGATGGAGAAGAGACACATTGCTGAACGCAAGGAGGAAAGAAGAAGATTTCGTACTGAGTCTCGCAACCTAAAGGAAAAGCACCAAGCAATGGTGGATACAATTCTAGCCAAGTGTGTCGTCGAACGTCAAAAGCTACGCGACGCAATTTCTCGTCGTATGGTGATGGCAGAAGAAAAGCAAAGTCTTTCAACTCACACTTTGCAAGAAGCCATCGAGGCCGATGTTAGAGCCATGCAAGGAGCGTGGGTTGAACACGAGCGACTCGAAGAGGAACACAAGAGTAGCTTTGCAAAAGCACAGGCACTCATTTCTGCTCAGGTGTTCCACGAAGTTCGAAATGCCCTGTCCTCTGTGGTTGCAATGTCAGAAATGACATCTTCGCTACAGAATGATCCATCCATTTCTTCCAAGACACTTGTGTCATCGGTAAGCGAAATGCTAGATCAAAACAAGGAAGTCGTCAACTATTCTTTAAACATGTTGAATAATATCCTTGATGTCTCAAAGATCAAAGCTGGTTCTTTCGAAACTAAAAAGGGTTTCTTTGATCTACAAGATCTTGTAAATAGAGCGACGACGATGCAGCTAGTAAAGGCCCAAACCAGAGGAGTGAAGATGTCTTTCTCACCAATGCCGGAACCTCAGATAGCTTATTCGGATGAAGATATAGTCGTCCGCATTATAACGAATTTTATAAGCAATGCCGTCAAATTTACGACGGCGGGTGCTGTGCAACCTTTTGTTTGCTCCTTGGAAAGTATCGATCCTGTAAAGAGCAAAACGAAAAGCAAAACTATACCCGTGGAACCTACAGAAAAGTCATCACCAACAAGCAGAAAAGATGGGGGAGAGAGGGACAACATGAGCAGCCATCAATTTGATGACGAGGACGATCTTTCTTATATAGATGTCAAATACGTGGCCGTGGGAGTTGCGGACACTGGTCCAGGCCTCAGCAGAGAACTCCTTAATATTGCAGAGGCTGGACTATTTAATTCTGATTCATCGAAGTCGAAAATGAATAGTGGTGCGAAGAATAGCGGTTTTGGCCTACATCTTGCGCATCAACTTGCGAGTACGCTTGGTTCCGAGGTGAACCTTACGGATCTAGATGCATTTCAAGAATTGTGCAACGAAGATATGGCTAGCGTTTTGAGGAACGTCAAGAATTCATCGTCACCGGATTTGTTATCATTACCGATGGAATCCCTCTGCAGTGATGACCTTCCGGGAAAAGGAACTGTGTTGTACATAACAATTCCTGTTGTCTCGGATGTCCACGAAGCCAAGGCAATGGTAGAGTCCGCGCCGGATCCGAAGGAAGCTTTTGATTTGTCATCCACACAATATATCTTTTCACCACAACCATCTCCCTACTCGGCCGATGGCTGCTTTCGAATTTTGGTAGCTGACGACGTGCCGATGCTCCGAAAGGGGCTTGTTCGTTCCGTACTTGATATTTTCACCGATTTTTGCAACTGCCCTATTTCTGTGAGCACCGCTTGTACTGCTGAAGATGCACTCCGGGCTCTTGAATCTTCAAGTTATGATTTGTTCATTTCTGACAACCAGTTTGCTCCACCTGGTCATCTCAAGCGCTATTCACCAGAATGCGAGGAAAAGCGGTTGCATGTTAACAATTGCGGAGACAAGAATAACCTGCGCAAATCGGTCTTGGATTTTTTTGAGAACGAGGCTTTCACAATTGTCCCGGGAGACGGATCTTTGTCTGGCCTCGATGCTCTCTTGCAGGTTGCCCAAATGAAGGAGTCAAAAAACCCCACTCCAATTCTTGTCCTGCATTCAGGTCACCAACTTGAGTTGCCCCGGCAGCTTGGTATTATTGTTGTTCGCAAGCCATTGAAGAGAATTGATTTTGTACCTTTGTTTGAAAGAAACGCACGAAATTTGATAGAGACCGGTATGTGCATTGAAGTGGAAAGAGGAAATGACAAGGTAGTTCTAAACAAGAACGGTGCACAACTATTCCGAAGACGAAATTCGGAAATAGGATAGAGGGGATCAAATTTTGAAAGTTGTGTAGCAATTCAATTAAACACCAGATAAATGGAGTATTAATTCTAATATGAAAAACAACAGAATTTTTTCATCAGCCGCGCGTATGATCCAATATGCCATGAATTGCTCATTCATTACTCTCCCGTTAATGCCACTTCAGAAGTGCTGCAATCGGGGGTCTGCCGCACTTCCTCTGTCAATGAACTCACGCTGTTAGGCGGTCACGTGATTCGCCAGGACATTCCCCTAGTGCAGTACCATATGGAGCAAGCACCATAGTAGAACAATCATCTGACCGCTCGTCGTGACCATGACCGAATGGTCATCGGAGGCATAATTTGTTGAAAGCTACGGCTTGCGAGTGTGCAATCTCTCAGGTGAAATCTAAACTCTTTTTCTCGGTGGGTTTCTGTTACTAGTGCGACTACGACAAGAACCTTGTGCTACAGTCGCATGTCTTGATTGGAGCTTTTTCTTGAGATAAAAAGCGCTGCTTTGCATGAGAGATGTTCATTTCGCACCATAAGAGTAGCCTTCCATACAGAAGCACGTACTCTGGTGGTTTCGTGAACGGTCTCGGTGGAAGTAGGCTATAGGTTGGCTGCTGCCAAAACCCTAGAGCGTTCCGGCCTTGCTTTGCCCTTGCTCGTCAGGTGGAGCCACTAGGCCAGAGTCCGCGGCCAACGACTCATTTTTCAATTCCTTGTACATTTCGAGGACAATGTTTTGGTTGGCCTCGTCCCATGGGGTTTCGTAGGTGACCGCCCTCCCCATGGTTTGCACCGCACTCCGTAAATCGCCGGTGGCCTTTTGGGACAACGCCACGTACTTGTGAACCTGCGGGAAGTGACGGTTCATCTCGACGGCCGCCTCACCTGCGTGAATGGCGGAGTCATATTTCTTCAGGTGATACAAGCACCGCGACATGCCCATGAACATCATGCGCTGCTGGGGTGGTGTTGCCATGGCATCGGGGTCATCGTAATCTATGACATCCATGATTTTGAACTTGTAAGTATCTATGGCTTTTCTGTATTCCTTCATGGCTTCGAAGCATTCGGCCATTTTGATGTACAGATCAAAGCCACAATTTGGCAGCCGGGTAGTGTGCATGTTGGCTTCCCGCATTTCCGCAAGCTGCTGGGCGACACGGTCGGCCTCGCTCGTCCGGCCCTGGATTTCGAGGGCCTCCAGGGAATCCAGCAGCGACTCAATCCTGGCTTTGTTTTCCCGGCCTTGCTTGTCGATGGCCTCGAGTTCCTCTAGGGCCCGCAGCGCGTCGGCCGGCCGTTCCAGTTGCAGGAGGACTTCGGCCTTGGTGAAGAGTGCCTGGGCTGTTTCGGATGGGTCTCGGAGGTTCACTGCGGTCGTGTTGATCCTTGCGAGCTCGGCGAGGGCCAGCTCGGAATAGTCCTTCCGCTCCTCCGCGCTCTTGTCGCCCCTGCTCGCCCGCGCCGCGTACAGCAGCGCTGCTTCGGCTTTGCCGCCGCTGCCGCTGGCATTCTCACAAACCTCCTCTGTTTTGCTTTCGGATTTCGCGAAGTGCTCCCGAAAAAAGTTTATGTCTCTACAGTCTTCCCTGTGGCCGTTCCTCCAGTGCGCTCTCTGGCAGGCAACCCCGCAGTAAAAGGTCATGTGGCACCGGGAGCACATCTTGGGAGGTCCTGTTTCCGAACACCCCGGGCCGTCGCACTCGACGTGCTCCCGGCCGACGGGCAGCTTTTGCTGTGGTTGATATTGATATTCGTCGTTCGGCATTCTGGAGGCGATGAATCAATTCAATTAACTGTACGTATGCAGAGAATGGGTAATATTGTCCGGTAACGATCAAGAGCATCGAGACCGCAGTCTGAAATTATTGATAAGATTTGCAGTGAGTTAGTTACGTATGAGGACCCTAAGAGTGTACAGTACGTACTGTAACTGAGATGAGAAGACGATGTTTTTCTGGATTTTTTGACATCGTAATTCGCTTTCACAGCACTCCGAGAGGGTACAGGTACGACTCGTACGGCACGGTACATGCGGCACATCATATTCATCCTACAGTACGCACGTACCTGGACGGTAAGTACTTCAAATTCAAACTTCATTGTAGTAAGCGGTGCGCTGGTAGTAGAGATAAGTGTGTAAAGATAGTCTGTCCATCATCATTATTGAAGTGAACCGCGCATGAAAGAACAGGTGACAGACAGAAAAACAAGATACCAGTAGTAGGGAAGTACGATACTCCTACGTAAAGTTACGTACGAATTTTATCTTTGTTCTTCGCATAGTAAATACTTGCTGTCACAGGTCACAGCGCACCGAACAGACCAAGTTTCAGACGTAGGTACCATACCTACTAGTACTCGTACTACGGTGCTTGTCCGTGTTCTCTATTGTTTCTACTGTACCGTACGGAAAGAAACTGTAGACAATTACTGTACTGTACTTCTACTTCGTACTCGTAACGGTATGTACGTACCTTTGAAGAACAAGCCGTCCATCCATGGTGTGGCAGATGATGCTAGTCGCGATCCTAACGGATGGAAAAACGGATCAAAAAACAACAAAAGAGTTACATGCGTGTCATGTAGCCACTGAAAAAGAAAGTCGATCCGTTACGGCTGACATGCTCATCTGACAGCTCTACCAGCAATAGTTCGATCCTGCTCATCCCGGCAGTTGAGGCTGGTGTGTCGAGGGGGCTATAATAAAGTTGGTTGCACAAATTATTGAGAAAATGTCGAAATTCACATGATTTGACATAAAACACTCGTACTCCTAACATACAGTACCGTGCAGTACGTACGTAACGTACCTACAAGAAAAGAACATCATTACCGGCAGGGGTCATAATTTAGAGGGGTGTRCAACGCGCGCATTTTTCAGCATCAGGACGAAAAGATTCCATTCCATCCGTGGCAGGAATAAGAAAATTTTGATCCCAGGGATTTTTTTCAATTCCATTTTTACTGCATATCACTGCAAAAAGTGTACCTGAAAGACCCCATGCACAGGAACACTTCTARTMACTCTCTAATTTTCAAACTTCACATGCACATCTCTCACATAGTTGAGAGGCAAGTAGTAAGTATATTTTCACTCTTATTCCTATCTGCGGTTCAAAATTTAAGTTGCTGACACAGGGCTGGTGATAGTAACAGGCTAGTACAGACTAGTACTGTATTTACAGTAGAAATAATGTCCTTTGTCRAGTCAGTCCCACCAGTCTAGTCCTTAGCAAAAATTCGAGCTGTCTGTCCTTCATCCGTTTCTCCCACTAATTCCCCAGTAATAATTTCTACTAATAATCTAGTCAATATTCAACAGTGGAAAGGTACACTATCATTCCATTTGACACTGAAAATATTGGCATATTCAGAATCCTCATGAAAAACTGGGCTAAACAGTGTACTCGAAAATTYYAATGGTAGKATTTTTGATAATGTTGTTACTGCTTAAAGGTTGGATAGATTTACTACTAGTATTATGCAGTAAAAATGAAATTGAAAAAAATCCCTGGGATCAAAATTTTCTTATTCCTGCCACGGATGGAATATGAGTTTTCGATGCGTTGCGCACCCCTCTAAATTATGACCCCTGGTTACCGGTACGTACATTCGTTACGATGAAGATACGGTAACTACGAACCCTTATTGGTGGCACGGCAGAATCGATCGAAAACGACTCAGACGAAGCTCTCTCGTTGAGGATTGATTGTGAAGATCACAAACCGAAACCCATCCATCGGTACAATCACATTACTAGCTGCGTTGTGTACTTCGAAACCAACTCATAGACGCAACCGCAACCGCAACCGCAACCCCAACCGCAACCATACCGACGACCAAAATGGCGATTTCCAAAACTAGCAGTAGATTTTGTGCCCTCCTCTCCACGATGGCAGCGATCTCCCCAGGGTCGTGTCTTGCCGAGGAAGCTTCCCCCCTTCCTCAGCCAGAGGCCTATCAGCAGAGGCTTGTAGACTGGATTCGTTCTGGAGAGAACGGATTCTTTCACCCCTCGGTAGTATGGAAGCGACTGGGGCCCGATGGGAAATCAGGCCCCTACGCCATGCACACCACGGTCGACATCCCCAAGGGCGAAAAACTCCTGGTCGTGCCCCGATCCCACACGATCGATTCCCTAAAGACGCATGAGAACTGCTTCACAATCGCCCGGATGCTGGACGAGTACGAAAAGGGCGACGATTCGTTCTACGCCCCTTACCTCTCATATCTCTTCGACGACACGGAGGGCGGGACCACCTCCGGATTGCTGCCGACGTCCTGGTCCGAGGACGGGCAGAACCTGCTGGACCAGGTGTTGTACGGCAGAGAAGGCAAGTCAGCCGTTGCTTCGGGGCTGGAGCCGAAGATCTACTCCCACGCTACGGTTTTTGAGGATTGCGGTACCAACTTTCGGTCCCAGCATCCGGACGGGGAAATCGAGGACGAGACGCTCCGTCGGCGGGCTGAGGACGCCTACTACTTCATGCTAAGCCGATCGTGGGCAGACAAGCTGATCCCCGTCCTCGACATGTACAACCACCGCAATGGGGCCTCGAAGAACGTCGAATCGACGACGGTCCATTACAGCGACAACGACATCACCGCCTTTGCGCTCAGAGATATCAAAGCGGGCGAGCAGCTGCAGAACACCTACAGCGAGTGCATGGACGACGACTGCAACTGGGGCAAGATGCAGTACGAATACCTGACGCCGAACATTTTTATGGACTACGGGTTCCTGGAGCTTTACCCCAGGCGCTGGGAACTGGGCCCGACCAACCACGAAATTGTTGCGGAGGTCGACGAGGACCTTGAGACGGGCGAAAAAGAATTCAAGTGGATCTTTCAGAAGCCCACGTCGACGGCGCTCCGGTGGATCTCCAACCACCTCGAACGCCTCCAATCCATGGAGGAGGAGATCCGGGAGGGGGTCGAGCGCCACCGCCGTCGCGGCTCCGAACACTACGCGCGGTACCACAACATCGAGCACGAGGCCGACAGCATCCTCGAGATGTACGAGGGATACGTCGAGGTCTTGTCGATGGCGCACGAGCACAGGAACGACGGCATTGGTGTTACGCGAGAGCAATTCGAGGAGCTCCTCGAGGATGCCCGGAACACAAACGATGAGCAATACGATGAATTGTAGTGTTGTGCTCGTGCGCGTGTGCACTATGGCGTAGCGGAGTGGGATGGCTTTGTTTTATATCKTTTCGTTTCGTTTCGTTTGGTCCGACCGGTTGGACGCGGCACAAACAAGACATTTATCGTTGGTCGTTGGAGCACGAACCACCTACCATACCGTTCGGTTGGTCCACTACGAGTAGAATCTCAACCAAAGAATCCCTCGAATGCTTACGGGTATCGTACTTCAAAGGCGGCAGATGCTAAATTTCAACGAAAGAACTGAACTGCTGCTTCAAAAAGTGTAAGCTTCAATGATGATGGAACAGGATTTTACTGAGTTGAGACGAATCCTAGAAACTCGTCCATGTGCTGGTGAGACGTACCAATGTAAAGGAGTGGAACTCCCTAGATTTCGTATTATTTCATATCTTGGGCTTTTTGCCGTCATAACTTTACGTCTATTGTCAAGCTATAATTTTACTACTAGTAGTACCAGTACTAGAACAAATAGTCCTCTACAGTTACTAAGGCTACAGTTGTGTTCTATCGGCATTGTCTTTGCCAGCATCCTATCTCTCCAAGAAAAATGTTACGCAAGATTCCCTTCAATTCATCAACATTCTTCCTTGCGGTTTGATTCTCTTGAGGAAATGTATTAGGGTACTAGGAAGTCTTCGCATGAGTACCTGGACGTATCCACACAAAATTCGAAATACTACTAATCAAAATGTACTCGGTTACCGGTAAGAGCAAGTACGAGCGGGCGTCATAAATTTGGAGGGGTGCGCAACAATTTTTTTTTTCCCTCCTCATCATTCCATCACAAAAAACACCTGTCTCGACAATCTCAAGACAAAACAATTATGCAGCGAACTACTCTACATTCGGTAGCTTGAACGTTCCAGACTGAAAGTTCCAGCGACGGCGAAAAAGAAGGAGACATTGAGCTTATAGGCACCACCAAGCACCACAATGATTGCATGCAAATGGTTTGACAAAACCCCTGGCTTCGTTTCTTGATTCATTTGCTCGTTCTCTCTCCTTCCTTTCCTTCCAATCTGTCACGTCGTTGACATCAATTCTGTCTCGAAACATAAGCCGCCTTTCCGAAGCAAGTTCGAGGCAACTACTTCTCGATTCAAACAAGATGCTGTCTTTTTCATCATCGGAACAATCACCTCTTCTGATCAAGTCGTCAAAAGACCAGGGTCGTGGCCTCGGGAGCGTGAAGAACAAACCAAACAAAAAAGACTTTCAGGAACCAACCAAGGAGAAAACGGTTGTAAGGGACAAATCTACAACACACAACAAGAGTGCCGACAACGCAACGATCTATACACTGGCCTTTGTCGTATTTGTTCAGGCATATTTGCTAGAGGGAGTCTTTCCGTACGCTGGATTCTTGACGATGCGCTTGCTTTCGTGCAAGAACAACGGCTACGAGAACGACAGTAGTTGCAGCACAAAGCATGCCATTGACGAAGAAAACGTTGGGAAATACGCTGGTTTTGTGGCTTGTTGCTTCATGGTTGGTCGAACAGTCACGGCGGTTGCTTGGGGGAAGATTGCCGATACCTACGGCCGGGTTTTTGTACTGAAGGTATCCCTGGTGGCTTCCGCAATCACATCCATAGGATTCGGATTTGCGAAGACATATTGGGAAGCACTCCTTTGGAGGTTTTTGATGGGATTTGCGAATGGAATCACGGGTACTATCAAGTGTTTATTGTCCGAGATTCGGGCTTCTTCTGGATCGCAAACGAAGGAGACCAAGACAATGGCAATCGTTTACGGGATGAGGGGGTATGGCTTTTTGATTTGTCCCGGCATTACAGGCTACTTGTCGGATCCGATTAAGCAATATCCTAGTACCATGGCATCGGTGATGAGGCCAATCAAGTCCTTGCTGCGAGCCTATCCTTTTGTCTTGCCGAATATTTTGGCGTGTGGTTTGTGCATTCTTGCCTGCCTATTGGTGAAGAACCACGTCGACGAAACACTACCGAACGAAAAGTGCGAACCATTCCCTTCGTTCTTCACTGCAGCACAAGGCATACTCTGTCGATATTTGCCGGGCTGCAACGATAATACGACTGGTAGTCATAAAGATTCAGTACAAAGAGAGCTGCATGGAACCATACTTCCCGACACCGACAAAATGTCTGGTGGGAATATTATCGAAACGGGCGTACAAGAAATGAACTCAGAGCCGTCGATCACGACTAAAGACTTGTTGTGGAACAATTCGAAACATGGTTCGGCAAAGAGGAAAATTCGATGTCGATGGTACCATCTTTACGCGTACTGGATGTACTCGTTTTTGAACATTGCTACGGACGAATTGTTTCCGTTGTTTTGTCTGTCAAAGCTATCGGGACTGGGTCTTAAAGAAAAGCAGATTTCGTTCCTATTGGCTGGGTCGACTGTCTTTTATGGGCTTTTGCAATATTTATTATTGACTGGTTTGGTGAGAAACCTTGGCTTGTATCCTACCTTGCGGGTTGGTATATTCTGGAGCATTCCATTGGGTTTTCTCATTCCTTTGGCATCCTTGCGATTGATAAAGAAAGACAACGTGACTGGTAGCTGTTATAAAGGCGATCAAGATCCAGCGCAGAGCATTGCGCTGGGGCCTTTGCTTATACTTTATCTCTGTTTCCTTATAGCTGTGATAAAGTCGTTTTCATCGGTTGTATTTTCAGCGCTGAACATGGCAATAAACCGCACTGTTGACACGATCGACCAAAGAGCTACCCTGAACGGAATTGCCTCTCTAGGCGGATCTTTAGCGAAAGCATGCGGTCCACTCTTCGCCGGTTTTCTGTTCTCTTTTCTAGCTGGTGACACAAAGGATCTCACTTTTGCCACCTCAACAGAGAATTATACGATGAATGGTTATGGTAACGGGAATACCATTCCGAAGAACGATGACAGTGATGGTACGCTATTTCACCACTTTGCTATCTGTCCACCATACGGTTCAGTTGTTGCGTACGGTTTTGTTTCAATTCTGGGCTTGGTTCTAGGCTTGCAATCTCTCAAATTGCGGGAAATGCCTACAGGTACATAATCCGTTTGAATACTTATGATTAGTTTCCTATCCACCTTCTTCCCGGTGATACTACCGTAGATAGAAGCTTCTAGTAAGCTAAATAGGGGCAACACCAAATGATGCTAAGAAAACCGCTGTGCCTTTTCTAGTACTGGTACGTAGTAGTAGTAGTTCAATCTTCAGGGACCAGCAAGAACACTACCTCCACTGGAAGTGTGCTGTGGAAACTGGCTTGAAGTTTAATGTTATTTATAAAAACAAGGAGGGCAAACTTAAGAGGAAAATAGTGTGCCTGACTGTTGGGTAGCAAGAGTACTACACAGTAGTAGCTAGTTACTAGTAATAGTAGGAGTACTACCACCAGTACTAGTACTATTTCTACTTTGAAGTAACAAAAAGAAAGAGGACAAACAATGCTTAAGAAGCACATTTCTTCTTCCTCCTCCTCCTCTTTATTCTTCTTGCTTCTAATTTTTTACTTAATAGTGGACTCCACCATACTACAGCAGCTCTAAACCAACATATGGTGGTTCTTACACCCACCAAAGTACATGTTTCCTCATTCATTCTACTTTGTAGTAGTAGCCATTCGTGAAAAGATTCAGAGGTACCAGCATATGTTGTGTGCACTCCTGCTACTTCTAGCAGCACCACAACTACTACTACTAGTATACTAAGTGGTTGTTTGCAGTACTAAAAATACTAGTAGTATGGAAATGAAGATTCAATACTGCAATCCTGGTGGTGCTAGCAATAGAAATTCTACATAGCCTGGTTAAAATTTGTTAGCAACAAGATTGATGATTACAATTGACAATTCACAAAATAGTGTTTCTTGATCACAATTTTTTGTGATCAAGTTGAATCACAATTTTCATTACATTGAGGTGGGGCCTTAAAAATCACATTCTTCAACATGGTTAGTAAAGTCTTTTGTGTATTTTCCAGAACTTTGACATCCAATACTTACAGGTGGAAATCTTGAAGACATTCATTACAATGATGATTCATCACCTGCATCCATGAAAAAACCACTGAACTGTGAGAATTTTGAACTTTTCATTTTTTCATTTTCTACGTAGAAAATGAATGTGTATCGTATAGCGTTGGCGGAGTGATTCCGGCCGACCCAGTCGTACATTAGCAATTCAATATATACATAAACGTATATCCGTCAATATTCGTCGTACGCCGCACTCCCCCACCGCATTCGCAAGCTCTTTGAATTCTCTTTTTAACCATGTGCTTCTTGTACTTAAGCGCCCGTTGGGGAAAAAGTTATGGCTGTTCGAGTGAGTTGTACCCTAGTTAACTTTCTACGTGTATTTTGTACTGTGCGGGGATTTTGGGCTATCTTTTCACCGTGTAATGACTACTTTGACTCAATCCCCCAACGGACAAGCTCACTAAATTTGGCCACTAATCGTGTGAACTCAAATTTGGCAAAACCCCTCCTTGATACATTTGTTCTGTTTC